ACTGCATGCATCATCCAAATAAAGAAAGTTTGAAACTTTAGAATATCACAATCACTGCATGCCTCATCCACATAAAATATTACAATTTGTGGTTCTTAAAATATAAAAATAATTCAAACCATCAAAACCATGAGCAGAGTAATAGTAGAGATTCCATGTCTCTGTATTGTACATTTATAGATATTTTTGAAAACAAAAATCAATCAGCACATGTTATATTTTCTATTTATGACTTTTAGAGTTAGGTTTAAAAACCAAAAAATATAGATAAATAATATGTTTATTTTTTTTAATTCAAAAAATATATCCAAGTTGAAAACTTTTTTTTCAACAGAATATTTGAACTCTTTTTCAATTGAAAACACAAACAAAATATTTAAACAAATTGAAAACACAAAGTCTTATAAATTACTAAGGGTGCTTGCGGTTTGGCGGTTCGGTTGCGGCCAAAGGAAGTTCAAATCCGCCATCCGTCTGCCAAATTGGCAGATTGGAGAAAATCAATTCGCAATCGTCCGCTCGTCATCACGCATCCGTCCAAAATGCGGCGGATCGGTTCGGTTCAGTCGGTTTTGACAGATCGGTATATCCGCTGCTCACCCCTAGAAGCAGCTGGTGGGTTGACCGGTTGGTCGACCGGTGGGTCGACCGGTTAGTGTATTTTTTTTTTACCTCTTCGAACCTTTTGACCTGTTTGAACCAAAATATTTGCAAAGGAACCGGTCCACCGATTGGTCAACCGGCAGGTCGACCGGTTGGTCTCCCCCAACGGTAACGCATAGTGAAATGGTGAAATCTGGAGCCTATTCTTATTTTGGTGAAACTTTTGGTGAATTTTCGATTTGATATTGATTTGGTGAAACCGTCGGAGCACCAAAAAGTCACTTTTTTACCAAAATTTAAATCTGATGCCAAGTTTGATGAAGCGTTGGAGATAGTCTAAGGTGAGAGAGGGTGAACCAATATGTGAGGTGAAAGGTTACTGATAGAAAGGTTAAGGAGGATACCAAAGGCTAAAGAGTTCAAGGAGATCAAGGAGGTCAACGAGGTTACCCAAGGCTACCAATATTATATATAAGGTGTTGTGTCTCGAATATATAAAAGGTGTCGTGTTGTGACTGCCAATATATAAGGTGCTGTGTTGTGACTACCAATATTATTATATATAAGGTGTTGTATTGTGACTTATTTTATAAGGTGTTGTATTGTGACTTATTTTATTATATATAAGGTGCTGTGTTGTGACTGCCCATGGGGTGTTCGATGGTGTTTTTTTGAGTCAATTTATATATTTTGGCTTTTAAAAAGTTATTTTGGACTGTTTGGTTAAACTTATTTCAAACAGTTTCTGATTCTAACAACTTATTTTAAGTAAAAAAGTTGATTCTGAGAAGCTGCTCACCCCTTGCTTCTGATTATCAGTTTCTGTGGTGGACATGTTAATCCACGGTTATACTCTTAAATTTTTTTATTTTTTATTTTTTTAAAAATAGAAAAAGACCCAAATGGAATATAAAATATTATTATTATTTTTTATGAGAAATGTAGACAAATAGTGAATAATAAAAAATAAAAATTAATTGAAAAAGTTACTTTACAGCTTATTTAACAAACACTACTCAGCAATTTAAATCTATAATCCAACAATTATACTAAATAAATTAATAGTTTCTGATTAAAATTATAATTTCAATCTATTAAGGTATAATCTATAATCTGTTTTAACAGTTATACCAAACAACACCAATGTATAAGGTGTTGTGTTGTGACTACCAATATTATTATTATTCCGTTTGGGAAGAAAAAAGCCAGGCTTTTTTGGCCAAAATAGCCACAAAAAACAAAATAGGCTATTTTAGCCACAAAAAACAAAACATCAAATCTAACCCATAATCATTACAATCCTCTCTCACAAAACCCCGACAATTTATGTGACACAAGGAGCAGCGTGGGCGGTATGCTGAAGGTGCTGGAAGGTTCCGGAATGAGGGAGACCAACCTAGAGTATGCTGGAAGACTCTAGAATGTGGTAGAAGGGTCTGGAGTGGCCTGGAAGATTCCGGAATGTGGAAGAGCCTTGGAGTGTCCAGAAGAGTCTGGATGGGTCTGGAACATCCTAGATTGTCTTGGAGAAGCCTACCATGTACTACACTAGTGTGGAGAGTTCTAGATTGTAGTAGATAGGGTAGTTGTCCTAGATAGTTCTATGGAATGTTCTAGATGAGAGTTTGTAGCCCTTGGATCAAAATGATCTGAGCCGTCCATTAAGGAGGGGGATAGCTATATAAGGGTGAGGGGTCTCATTTGCTAGGCACCTAGAGACCTGGAGATCCAAGAGAGCTCTAAGAGTGAAGCACTAGTGAGTGAGTGTGAGTGTGAGAGCCTTGTAAGCTTTGTACACGACTATACTTGTAATGTTAACTTGTATAGTGAAGGCATTCTTCCACCTAAACTGTGTGTGTTAGTGTGGTTGAGTGGCATTCTTCCACCTAAACTGCGTGTGTTAGTGAAGCCTAAAAAACGAGCTCTAAGAGTGAAGCACTAGTGAGTGTGAGTGTGAGAGCCTTGTAAGCTTTGTACACGACTATACTTGTAATGTTAACTTGTATAGTGAAGGCATTCTTCCACCTAAACTGTGTGTGTTAGTGTGGTTGAGTGGCATTCTTCCACCTAAACTGCGTGTGTTAGTGAAGCCTAAAAAACCAAAAAGCCAAAAAACCCTTCCTAAACCAGGCTAAAATAACCCAGACTAAAATAACCAAAAAACCAAAAAGTCAAAAAGCCAACCTATTGTGACTTATTTTATAAGGTGTTGTATTGTGACTCATTTTTTTTGATCAGAAAGGATTATCATTAAAGCAGCCAAACTGCACTTGCAAGGAGAGAATCCATCCAAAAAATAAACACTTACACCGTCGAAGGAAAGATGAAAGATGAGAAACAAAGAAAACTTAGAGTAACCCAGCTGCACAACAAGTGCTTGTGTTGTGACTGATTGTTGTAACTGATTGTTGTAACTGTATATGCAATATATAAGGTAGCTGTTCCCAAGATACGTTGTGAAAAATTGCTGTGCCTGAAGGGTTTGTATGTGTTTTCAGATTCAGACATAGAGGAAGGCGTTGATTTCAATACTTGGGAGGAAGAGGCTTGACATGGGTGGGTATGTTGGCGTTTTAGTTTTATTGGGTGGAGGCTTTGTGATTCAGTTTTTTGGTGATAAAGATCGATCCTCTCAGTATGTAAAAGTCAGATTTTAACCCATTTGATTATTGTTGTTGTTGCTTAATTCACTTTTGATATTGATTTTGGTATTCAACGTTTCGTTTGTTGTCGCTTGTCCCTTAGATTTACAGGATAGAAGGAGCTGCTTTGTCAAAGCAAGTATTTGACGGTGGATCCTTAGATCTGACGGTTTTGCCGAGGAAAGCTTTTGTCGATGGTGGATCCTTGGATCTGACGGCCAGATGGATTAATTTTGTTAAAGGGAAAGCTTTTATCGTAGTTAGATCATCTGACCTAAATCGCGTAAGGTTTATTTTTTAGATCATCTGATCATCCGATCTAAATCGTGTAAGGTTTATCGTAGTTAGATCATCTGATCTAAATCGTGTAAGGTTTATCGTAGTTTGATCATCTGATCAAGGAAATTGTCTCCCACAAGCACCAAGAGCCTCCCAATCGTTGTGTGCAGGGTCCTCTCAGGAAGGAAATTGTGTAAGGTTTATTTTTTATTTTGTTCTACGCTTTGGCTATCGCTAGCCCTTACCGAATTATATTAAATTTGAGGTAATTTTTCACTAAAGACGGGGTGGTAAATTTGAGAGGCCTTGAAAATTTTGAATAAATATTTGAGGAATTGTTGATTTGGTTGAAGATTTAACTAGAACTCAATTTGGTTCAAGTAGAAGGTATTTTTAAATTTGATATCGTTTTTAGGTAAGAATTGGAGATAAACTTTGACAAATTCGCTACAATTTCTTATTTTATTTTATTTTATTTTTTAATTATTTGTCTGACTTATATTGTGCAATATACTGTAATACGAGCAGGATCACCAGTTGGACAAGATGAATGTGCTAACAGTGTGTACCACTGGTTTATATATGGATCCTGCCCAACCTGACCGTAGGGAACAAGGAAGTTCTTGTAGAGCTTTGCCTCACTCACTGTGCAGTTTCTTTTCTCTCTGTTGTGTGTATGCCAAAATCATTATGGCATTTTGTTGACCTATTTTAATCGGCTCAAATCCTGTTCACACCGATTTCTTATTTGGACAAGCTAGATGGGTTAAACGGGCTGGTTTTAGGGTTAATCCTTTAATTGTGATCCTTTTGCTCTACTTTGTTAATAAAATCTATACTTATTATTATCTGCATTTTTATTGCCAACACCAAATATAATTATTTATTGTGCAAATAATGTAAAGCAGTGTTACTAAAGGCACCTAGGCCCAAGTTCCATCCAGGCCCAAGGTTTGTGCCTCGTAGTTTTCCCGAATTGCTGTGAACCGCACTGAGACGTGCAAAATTTCAACTCGGGCGGGTGGGAGGCCCAGTGCTGGCGGGTCGGCGGGGGTGGCGGGTGAAATTTCCCAACCCGCAGGTCTAACCGACCAGATCCGCCTATGTTTCAAAAAAAAAAAAAAAAAATCACTTGTTATACACTCTCACACACACAATAATTCCCTCCATTAAACCTAATACCCACACATTTCGATTTCATCTCATTGTGCCTGTTTGGCAGAAATTATTTACAGCTTATTTCAGCTTTCAGCTTAATTTAAGCTATTTTGATGTGTTTGGTTTAGCTTATAGTTTTGTGGAAGTCAGAAATCAACTTATTCTTTGAGTGGGGCGGGAGATGCTTTAAGAATAAGCTGGAAATCCGCTTAAGCTGAAAGTTATAAGCTATAAGCTGTTTAGGCATAAGCTATAAGCACTTTCCCACAGCTCTACCAAACAGGGCTATTCACATACACATCGCTGTTGCTGTGAAGAACATTGCATTGATTCACACACACACACACATCGCCATTGTTGTGCTGCTGATCGGCTCACCGCTGGTTGCCTATCCTCACCGCCGCCACTGATTTCTCCTTCCCTTGCTGATCGGCCCACTGTTGTTAGCCTCTTCTCGTCGTCGTTGACTCGTCGGTACTGTCGCTGCTCTCTCTTGCTCTCTATGTTCTATATACATATATATATATATATGTATGTATTTATATATAACATCACTGATGCTCTCTCTGTTCTATAAGTTCTATATATGTATTTATATATAACATCACTGATGCTCTCTCTATTCTATAACTTCTATATACATATATATATAACATCAGTGATACTATTTCATAAATAGGTTATAATAATGCAAGGCTGTAAATCTTTAGTAGTCATAGACCATGGCTAATTCATTATCTATGATTTCTTTGAATTCCTTGTTTACTACTTATTTCATTTGTGAAATTTTGTGCTTAAAAGTTTGTATTCTAGATGACCTCGCAAATCATTTTTTGTTTTTTACCCTTTGAATTACAATGCTCAATATTTTCCCATTGGTTCAAAAAGCAGCATGATAATTTTTATAAATTAGATCTTTTTACTCTTTGATTCGACTTTTGTAATTTTAATTATATTTTTTATAAACCGCCAATCCGTCCAAACTGCCAAGGTAAATCCGCCATTATTTGCCAACCGAACCGATAGTTTTTGATAAGAAAAATGGCAAATTCTAACGATATTTTTATCAATCCGCCACCCGCCATACAGTTTCTATTTTTTTCCTAAACCGCATCGACCCGCACCGCGCACACTCCTACTTGTAGTGTTCCAGGCCAGACGATTGTGATAAGGCGTCTGATTGGCTCAAGGCTTGTGTCTTGAGGGCTTTTTTATTGTTGCTTTAATTGGTTTTGTTTAAATTCTTACCATTGATTTAATATGGTGCAGCTATAGAAGATCTCTACTCTTATTACAGATGTCAATACATTGGGCATTCAAGCCCAAATCAATGATAGAAGAAAAATTAGTCATAATTCCTAATCTCCAAAAAAACATTAAATGTTTAACATTTCATTTTGTTTATGTTGATCCGGATTTTTATGATTTAGAAACCGTATGGCGGGTGGCGGATTGATACTAGATTTTAAATTTAGTATGATCTTAAAGTTACTACGATTCTATTCATAAAATCGTATAGAATTGCATACGATCCTGATTCTGCTACGATCCCGATCCTAACAAATTTTTTTGTTGTTATTTATTTATTATATATATATGTATGTGTATATCTATATAAAAAATTTGACTATAAATACTTTTTTCAAATGTCTCTTCTAATTGATGTTAACATAAAAGATGCATTATATCAAATTTATCATTTTTCTTTTAACATTTTTAAAATTACGTAACATATATTATCATTATCGGTAATTTTTCATTTTATTTTACATTGAAAGTAAAATCTTATGATTCTTGATCCGATTCTATGATCTGATCAACTAATCCCTTCTAACAATCCCACATAGGATCTCGATTTTAACAACTTTGCTCTCTCTGCGAAACCCTTTTCCCCAAGGATGGACTTAGAGGGGTGGCCACCCTTACTATTTCAAAAAACCCCTTTATTTGTAGTAGTATTAATTATAATATCTCTAATTTCTAAATTATAGTGGGTTGCTCCTTCTAGTTATATTTTGTTATACTTTTTTTTTTGTCATATCCTCTTTAGATTTATTTATTTATTTTTTTAAAATTTAAGTGGTTGCTCTTCTTTATCTATAAAACATTGGATCAAAGTTTAAAATTTAAAAAAAAAATACCTAAGACAAAATATAATAAAAGAAATTAGTTTCTTATAACTACATTTGATTATAAGTTCTATTACCAGATAATAAAACAAGGTATCAATTAATGATTTTATCATGTTTATTGAGGAAGACATTATGTAAGATTTCCAAATTGATTCTATCATAGATACTTCTAATAACATGAAAGAGTATCACCTCAAATGTACCTCACTTTAGTAAATCGATTGTTTTTATAATTGCTATCTTTTGTAAATCAAATGTGGATAAAAAAAATTATGCTTATATGTATATGCTGTCATCTTATTTTCGCTTTTTATATGTCAGTAAAAAATTGATATTGTAATTCGTACTTTTTATTTAAATTTTTTGATAGCATATATATGTTCGCCCCCCTATGTGACAATCCTGGGTCCTTCCCTGGCTTTTCCCTGGAACAAGTTTGGGGATTGGTTATCCTTGCTTGCTCCTAATATTTTTTTTTCTTGTCTTGTTAGCGATGCCTCGAAGGGAAAAATTTCCAGCACCAAGAGCCTCCCAATCGTTGCGTGCAGGGTCGTCTCAGGGAGGAAATGGTTTCCCACAAGCACCAAGTGCTTCCCAATCGTTGTGTGTGTGTCCTCTCAAGAGAGGCCATCATACAAAACAGTATTACTCTCGTCACCAAGCTTGGATCATGGACATTGTATCCCACAAGCACCAAGAGCCTCCCAATCATTGTGTGCAGGGTCCTCTCAGCAAGAAAATTGTCTCCCACAAGCACCAAGTGCTTCCCAACCGTTACGTGTAGGGTCCTCTCCAAAGAGGCCATCATACAAAACAGTATTTCTCTCGTCACCAAGCTTGGATCAAGGACCTAGAGCCTCCCAACCGTTGTGTGCAGGATCCTCTCAGGAAGGAAATTGTCTCCCACAAGCACCAAGTGCCTCCCAATCGTTGCGTGCAGGGTCCTCTCAAGAGAGGCCATCATACTTAACAGTATTGTGCTCCTCACCAAGCTTGGTTCAAAGAAATTGTCGCTTACAAGCACCAAGTGTCTCCCAATCATTGCATGTAGAATCCTCTCTGGAGAAGCGAACAGATAGATCAATATTGGAGTCGCCAAGCTTGGATCAAGTGCCGCATGTGCTGCATCAACCATCAGTGAAAACTGTTTGCCGACTAGGACCAAGTCCCCCTCAATTGGTGCTTGATTCTGGCATTCGGTATGTAGTTGAGGGAAAATGGAAGAACTCTTGGTTTGGGTGGATGTCCTCAGAAACATCTTTATCTAATGAAGGGAAACCTTTGATAAGTATCTATCCCTGTGCAAGCACAGATGAAGCCGATGCTTATTGCCTTGCACAAAATGAATGTGAGACTGACCAGTGTAAAATTTTATTCTTTATATGGTGTTAACATCGTAATTGAAAGGGTTCAAGCAGATGTGCATTCGTGGATTGACAATAAGTATGAATATTGGTCGAAAAATGGTAAAGGCAAATCTCGTTGGTGGGATCATATTCGGGATGAGTTTATACAAATATTTAGGTAGCTAATTACATCTACTTTTGATAATGTTTTAAGTTGATCAATGGTTATAGTTTTTGATTTATTTATTTATTTATAGGAATGTTATGGTTTGTCTCCGCCATATATATAGTAAGAGAATCTATAGTGGCAAATTGATTGATGGTATCTCAGTTATCAATAACACAGAGACAAAATTAATTTGGTTTGTTAAAGCAGCAACAGTAGAAGGTATATCTTGTCTTTGAAATTCAATTATTTATTTATTTATTTGTTGTTGTTGAATTCTTCTCCAAATTATTGGAATTATTATCATTATTATTATTATTTTTGTAGAATTTAATAATGGATCAAGAAGGGACATAATTGATTTGAGGCAGTTGATGGTTGAGGCTGTGTTGAAGCCTTACAAAGTATGCAATGCTTGGGATTGTCCCAAGAACAAGCGGCAATATATTTTTTTAAAGGAAGGCTTACCTAATGATCTGTGTCACTTTATTGAGAGACTTTATGATGAGAATTTTGTGTAAGATGTGTTGTATATATATATAAATTTTAATAACATTATTCTATGATTGATAAATTTTGGTGTATATGTAACTCATAGTATTTCTATACATTTGTAGGCCAATGAATTTGGATTGGCTGTTAGATGATCCTGCGTTTTGGAGTCCGGACCTAAAATTAAGGTTCTTCAGAGATCTCCATGAGATTGTGCACGTCGTGAAGCTTTTTGATACTGGTTATGCAAGTATTTTTTTATCTGCAAAACTTGGAGAACTGAACATTGCTAATTGGGAGTGTCTTATTCCCCAAGAGGGGCGAGAAAGACGAGTACTCAATAAGATGAGACATGACCAAAAGCATCACAACAAAGAGGATAGGGGAATTGGAGGAAGTCAACGGTCAAAGTTTATGGGGAAAGGGAAAGTGAAAGTGAAAGAAAAAAATCAGGAGATGGGATGTGGAGGAAGTCAACTGTAAAAGATTAAGGGGAAAGAAAAAGAGAAAAGTAGTGGGAGTGGGGGAAATAAATTTATTGAGGGTGATATTTTTTCAGAGATTACGCTGTTTTGTAGGCATTTGACTGAACATTACAATGAGAAACTCCTGTGTCATGTACGTATATAATATATATATCTTACCCCTGTTCATGTACTTTATTAGTTTGAGAGAGTGAGAGAAGATAGAGAGAGAGAGAGAGACAATGAATACAATGAATTGTTTCTATATTATGTTGTGTATCTGTACAAAGAAATGTATATCCTCTTTATAGAAAGGAGAGGCAATCATAAGATGTCAATTGGCACTGAAAGTATAAAGCAAGGGGGAACATATAATTATGAAAGCTACATATAATTATTAAAGCTAACATATAATAATATACTATCATAATAATATACTAACATCCCCCGCAAACTCAAGGAGGGAAAGCATCAACCAAGTTGAGTTTGGAAACAAGATCATTGAAGCGGCCAGGAGGATGAGCCTTAGTGAAGATATCAGTGGGTTGATCGACTGAAGCAATAGGGAGAAGATGAACAGTACCACAGGTAACATGCTGGCGAATGAAATGACAATCTATCTCAATATGTTTGGTGCGATCATGAAAAACATCATTGTGAGCAATCTGAATGGCACTCTGATTGTCACAATAGAGAGGGGTAGGACCAGAAGAAGAAACACCCATATCAACAAGGAGCCAGCGAAGCCAGAGAAGTTCCTGAGTAGTATCAGCAAGAGCTCGGTATTCAGCTTCGGTGCTAGAGCGGACAGTGAGGGATTGTTTTTTGCTACGCCAAGCAAGAAGAGAGTCCCCTAAGAAGAAGCAGAAACCCGTGGTAGAGCGTCGATCCGTAGGATCCCCAGCCCAATCAGCATCGGAAAAGGCACGCAGTTCAAGAGAGGAGGAAGCAGAGAAGTGAAGGCCATGGAACAGAGTGCCTTTGAGGTAGCGAAGAATGCGGAGTAGAGCAGTGTAGTGGGGAGTGCGGGGAGCCGACATGTACTGACTGACAATGTGAACAGCATAGGCAATGTCAGGACGAGTTACTGTGAGATAAACAAGACTGCCGATAAAGAGTAGCATCAGAGAGAAGAGTCCCATCGAGAGGAGTGAGACGAATCTGAGGATCAACTGGAGTAGAGGTAGTTTTGCAATCAATAAGACCAGCACGAGCCAGAAGATCGGATGCATATTTGACCTGGGACAAATAGGAACCAGTAGAATCATGAGAGACTTCAAAACCTAAGAAGTAGTTAAGAGTACCAAGGTCCTTCATCTCAAACTGTCGGTGGAGAAACTGTTTGAGGTGGAGAATACCAGCTTCATCATTACCAGTGATAATCATATCATCCACATATAGAAGAAGAAGAGTGGTACCATGAGAAGTAGTCCGTATAAAAAGAGCAGAGTCATAGGAGCTAGAGGTGAACCCGAAGTCATGAATGGTAGAATTGAACGTAGCAAACCAAGCACGAGGAGCTTGCTTGAGGCCATAGAGAGCACGCTATAGTTTGCAAACCTGATGAGGTGGAAAAGTGGACCCAGGTGGAGGGTGCATGCAGACCTCCTCAAGAAGATGACCATTAAGGAAAGCATTTTTGACATCCATCTGAAAGAGCCCCCAGTGGCGAGCAGCAGCAACAGCAAGTAAGCTGCGAACAGAGGTAAGCCGAGCAACATGAGAGAATGTCTCCTCATAATCAATACCATATTCCTGGTTGAAACCCTTGGCAACAAGACGAGCTTTGTAGCGTTCAATAGAGCCATCAGAATGTGTTTTGATTTTGTAAACCCATTTGCAGCCAATCGCAGTCTTGCCAGGAGGAAGATCAACAAGATCCCAAGTATGAGCTTTGTCCAAGACCTGGAGTTCATCAGTCATAGCTTGCTGCCAAAGAGGATTAGTACAAGCCTCACGATAGGAGGTAGGTTCATAAGTAGAGAAGGCAGCAGATCCAACAATATAATCACGAAGATGAATAGGAGGTTGAGTTACCCGGCGTGGGCGACCCGTAGGAGGGTCGGTGGGCGGAAGAACCGGTGGAGAAGGAGGTGCGGCAATAAGAGGTAGACTTTCAGGGAGAGCAGGCTGGACGGGATAAGGAGTGAGCAAGGGCGGCTCGATGAAGGAGGAACCTGTATCAAAATCAGCGGAGAAAAGATCTATGGAAGGATTAGTAAACAGTACAGTAGTGGAAAGTGCGGGTAAGTGAAAAGAGGATAGCGAGGAAAACATTTGGTGCTCCCAGAAAACGACATGGCGAGAGATACGAAGACGTTTAGAGAGAGGATCCCAACAGCGAAAGCCTTTATGTTCAATTCCATACCCAAGAAAGTAACAAAGACGAGAACGTGGTTCAAGCTTGGTGTGTTCATGGGATTGAAGTAGAACAAAGCAGGCAAAGCCAAAAACCCGGAGATTGGTGTAAGGAGGGGGAGTGCCATGCAGACGTTCAAAGGGAGTTTGATTATGGATGACAGGGGTAGGAGCACAGTTGATAGTGTAAACAGCAGTGAGGGCAGCTTCTCCCCAAAAGTTTTCAGGGCAGGAAGAAGAGAGAAGGAGAGCGCGAGTAGTGTCAAGAATATGCCTATGTTTCCGTTCAGCGCGGCCATTTTGCTAGGACCAGCACATGTACGATGAGGCAGTGTACCATGATGCTGAAGAAAGGAAAGGAAATCGGAATCCCGATATTCCATAGCATTGTCAGAGCGAAAATTTTTGATGGCTTTGGAGAATTGGGTGTGGACCATTTGGGCAAATCTGTAATAAATGTGTTTAAGTTCAGACCTATTTTTCATAAGAAAAAGCCAAGTAAACCGGGAGAAATCATCAATAAAAACAACAAAATAGCGGGATCCCCCCATAGTAGTAGTAGGGGAGGGTCCCCAAATATCTGAATGTATAAGATCAAAAGGTGCAAGGGAAATAGAAGTACTTTTATTAAATGATAAAGCAGGTTGTTTGGCAAGTTGACAGGGTATACAATCGAAATGATCGGGAATTACATGACCCAACTGTCCACTAGAAACCAAAGACTTTAAGCGATTAACAGAAATATGCCCTAAGCGACAATGCCAAAGATGAAAGGGAGATAATGAGGAAGTAGATGTAGGAGCAGCGATCTGAGGAGAGGTAGGAACATGAAGGTGAATGAGTTCATAGAGACGTCCATGCTTACGGCCGATCCCAATAGTCTGCCCCGTCTGAGGGTCCTGTACCAAACAATTAGTAGCAGAAAATGTGACAGTTAGACCAAGTTCACATAATTGACCAATGAAAATAAGGTTTAAGGTGAGAGCAGGGATATGATAAACTTGAGGTATAGATAAAGAAGAGGTGGAAACAGTACCAACATGACGGACAGACATGAGGGAACTATCAGCAGTATGAATTGAGGGAAAAGGAAGAGATGAGGAGGAGGAAGAAAAGATAGTAGAACTGGAGGTCATATGATTACAACAGGCAGAGTCAAAATACCAAGAAGAGTTACCTGGGGTTACAGACAAAGCAGTAGGAGGAGGTGTACCAGAAGGGGAGAGAAGTTGTTTGAGCATGGCCTCTACATCCGTCGGAGAAAAGCGAGGGGTAGATGGAGCAGGTGACTCAGAGAACCCCGCAGAGGCAGAAGCATTAGTGTGATGAGACTGATTCCCGGAAGTAGCAGCAGCAGTGTGATGAGACGGAGTCCCGGAAGTAGCTGTAGCAGTGTGATGAGACTGATTCCCGGAACGATGAAAGCTTCCCCGGGAAGAGCCACCGCGAGAGTAGTGGCTATTGGAGGATGATCGGGATGGATTGCGAAAACAATCCTGTTGCAGATTACCAGGACCAAGTTTGTTACAGTAGCGGCATGATCTGACGGGGCAATTGACCAGGAGATGGGTTGAAGGAAGGCCCCGATTCTGACAATAGAGGCAAGCAGTGGTCCGCTGGGTAAATGATGACCGGTATGGAGTAGTAGCAAGAACAGAGTCCACATGATGAGTTTGAAGTGTACCGAGACGAGTCTCATCTGATAGCAACTTAGAAATTACTTGTTCAAGAGTGGGCAATGGATGGCGATGAAGCAGAGAGGCACGTACGGGCTCAAAAGAGGAGGTAAGAGCCATGAGAAATTGCACCAACCTTTGCTGGTTGCGATAGATAGTAAATAAAACAGCATCTTCGGGGTTACGCCAAGTTGGTTCTGAAAGAGCAAGCTGATCCCAAACAGAGTACATTTGAGAAAGGAAGTCATTAATGGACTGAGTGGATTCTTGGCGCATGCGGTGAAGTTGATTCTGAAGTTGATATTGATGGGCAAGACCAGTAGTCTGGTATCGTTCTTTCAAAAAATCCCAGATGTCTTTTGCAGGAGTAGTTACAGAGTCAAGCTGAAAGCGACCAAACTGAAGACTGATAGAGGTAACAGAGGTATTACGAAACCAGGTAATGATTTGGTAATTCTTACTGTCCCATTCCTCAAGTCGGTCTTCATATGTAGCAGTATGAGCAGTAGTTTCAGTAATGTCACTGTCTTTCACTGGTTTAGTCATATCTCCGGTGACAATTCGCCAGAGCTTCTTGCCTTTGAGAAAGGAGGACATGGCTTGGGCCCACAGAACATAGTTTGAACCATTTAAAATAACAGAAATGGGATGAGAGACATCATGACGATCCATAATACTAGTTGAGTAGGGTTAAAGTAATAGGAATAGACCTGTAGGAGAAAAATTAGGTAAAACAGAGTGTACCAGTGAGTCCGGAAGGTCGAAAATAGCAAGGAAAGGTATGCTGGACAATGATGATGTTAGCAATGATGTCAGCGGCGCACGTTAGCAGAGTGCAGGGAGGAGCACGTTAGCAGGAAGGCGGCGGCGCACGGTAGCGGACAGGCGCAGGCGCGGCACACGGTAGCTGTTTTGGCGCACGCGGGTGCACACTAGCGAAGCGGCGCACGAGAGGCGTACAGTAGCAAGCGTGGCGTACGGGAGCCGCGGACGTGTGGGCGCGTGTGGGCGCGTGGCGGAAGTGAGCAACAACAGATGGCGCGTGCGGGCGCGTGTGAGAGTGGTGGCGGAAGTGTTGACACGCAGAGGACAAAGGCGGCGCGTGTGGGCGCTTGGAAGGTTTTCTGAGAACGGGCTTGGTGCTGTTGGAATCGTGAGAAAATTCCGAGCGGTTTGATGTAGTGCCACTGTGTACGGGACTAAACAAAAATTGCCAGAAACGTAATACTTCGCTCTGATACCATATTAGTTTGAGAAAGTGAGAGAAGATAGAGAGAGAGAGAGAGACAATGAATACAATGAATTGTTTCTATATTATGTTGTGTATCTGTACAAAGAAATGTATATACTCTTTATAGAGAGGAGAGGCAATCATAAGATGCCAATTGGCACCGAAAGTATAAAGCAAGGGGAACATATAATTATGAAAGCTACATATAATAATATACTATCATAATAATATACTAACATACTTGTTGATTTAATTGTTATAGTAATAAAATCATATCTCATAGGAGAGGAAACCAAAGGAAGAAATAAGCTTAATTGCGGATAAAATCTTTCATGGCGCATGCTCGATGCTACGGAATAGTATTTTTGAGGCTTGGATGGCTCAACCATCGTCATTGAAAACTGAAAGGTAATAAAAAAGCTTTTTTTTTTTTTTCAGTTTATTATTATTTAAAATATGTTATTGGTTAATGTTATGAATTTAAGTCATCAGTGCTTTGTTTTGCAGGCCTGAATATATGAATAGGCTCATGACTGATTTGGTAATTAATCGTCAGCAAGCCTAGGTTAAATTGTTTGGGTAAGTGACACTGCCAACTTTACATTCTATATTGCTATCATGTATTTTGACTCTTGGAAACTTGAATGACAAAAAATTGAGTTTAGAAAATTAGATTTTTTTTCTTTTATGGTAGTTAAGTGGTACATATAAGTTTAGTTTTGGGTTTCGACTTCTTGTGTATTGTAATAGCTTTCTCATTTGGGGTATATTTTTGTTAATTTTCTTAGTTGTAAGGCAGCCTCATTTGGAGGTGGTTGCATGGATGCTACTTGTTATGGAGGTGGCTAGTGGTGGTTTGTAAGCAACTTATGAATGTGGTGGTTGCATGTAATACACATCTTCATATTGTGGTATATTGTTCAAGTTGAATTTGTTTATCATTATGAGGTTGTAATCTCTCTTTTGGAATGTGTTTTTAGAGAACAAATTTTCAAATTTGGTGGTTTTTGCCCCTCATAGTTCTCCACTTGAGCTTGGTTTTGAGCCCTATAGCTCTAGTGGACTTCGGCCCTTGTTGGAAAGTGCAAAAATCAATCCTATAAGCTTCTCTTTGCATAATTTCGGCTTTGAGCCAAGTCGTATTCTAAGTTCATGCTGTTGGAAATTCCATCAGACTACATGAGTCGAGGGGTTGTTTATTTCAAAAGTCTTATGAATGAGACATGAAGCTGTATAAGTGTTCCCCTCATTTCCTAATCCATTTTGGATATTGTTATAGAAACATGTTTAGTATATAAAAACTTAATACAAAATGATGTGTGTTGTTTATATCTGTTCATTAGAAGTCAAAATGCTCATATCACTATTGTTAGTGATTGCAAGAATGTCATTGTCATATCACTTTTGTTTAAAATTTTGTATGAAAACTATGTATGAATATCATTTCCCATTCATATTTTTGTAGTCCTTTTATTAATCATTTTGCTTTCATTTAGTCTTTAAAATGTGCTATGATTACTCTTATTAGGCATTCCACACTATCTATGACTGGAACGATATGTTTTTTTTTAGGGAGATGTCAAAAGTGGTTGTTTTTTTCCTAATTTTTGTTGATTTTGTTTGTCATGAAGATTTGAATATACCTATAGGCATATGACCAATATTAACAAAGATTAGACAATCCCAATATTGCTAAGGATACTAATTTTTTTGGCAAAAACATTGTCCTAAAAAAGTGAGAGCAAAAGCTAATAAGTGCCCTTGTTGTATTGTTTAAGATTGTGATTCGTGTAAAAAGTGATTTGAAAATGGTGAGGAAGTTTTTCAATTTTTTAAAGTTAAATAAAAATAGTTTTGAAATTAATGAAACTGTCTTTTTTCTTTTTTTGGGATCTAAAAGGTGTTTTGAAATTAGTGAAAATGTCTTCAGTTATAAAGGCACTTGTTAGCAGGAACCAGAAGAAAAAATGCATAAAGTTAGTATAAAGCATTTGCTAAACCAAATAACGCATGACATGGTAGAGGCCTAGTTGATGCATTTTGCAATGATTGTACAAGAGATGAATCGCCTAGTGTTCGATCTTTCAATTCAAAAGTAGTCTCATTTTTACACAGCTCCCATGCTTTAAACAATACCATTTCTATTTTAAGTTACGCGACATTTGTAATTTTTGCATTTTTTTCATCCAAATGGTTTGGTTAAAAAATGACGACACAAAGGGATTTAGGAGACAAACTTACATATCCTATTGGGTTTAGCGGAGGATCAAGATGATAGTAGCTAGAATTTCTTCTACCACCTATAATTTCTAGAATTAAGACTCCAGAATTGATAGATATCGGACTTTACCGAGAAAGTATCCCCTATGTCATACACAGCAGACATGAAACCCCATATGCATGATTGTGAGATATTTTGAGTATAACAAGATCATAAATGCTTTGTAAAGCATTGCAACTTCATATCATCCACATCTAGGATTAAGTAAATATTTACTTATTATGTTCCACCAATCTTGTTTGTAATTTACTTATGTGTCATTTTCTTTGAAAATCCATGCCATACCAAAGAAGGATACTTGAGGATTCATGTTTTGATCGAATAATACATTACCAGTTTTTAAATCTCTATGTATTATTATCATTCTTGAGTATCTGTGAAGGTAAAGTGAGAGCCATGAGCAACCCTTTCAATGATGTAAAAATGCCTTTTCCAATCTGGTAGCGCTCCCTCTTAGTTATATTGTCACAGGGAAAACACCTTGTTTGGTTTCATTTTCTAGGAATTGAGTTTTTTCTTTTTTGTATATTTTTTTTTGTTTTTAATGAATATTTTTTAAATTTTAAGCAAATTTTTTTTTAAGAACTTTTTTAGATGAATTTTATTTAGATATGTCTAAAAAATAAAATACTTGTAAAATATATTTTAAAAAATCAATAAATACACAAGAATACGAAAATGTATTAATTTTCATATTTTTTTTTGTATTTTTGGTATTTAGTGAATTTTTTAAAGATTTTTTTTGCAAATATTATACTTAGGTTTGGTGTATCTAAAAATTTAAAAAATTCAGTGAAAAAAAGAAAAAGAAAAAAGAACATGGAAAACAAAAAACTTCAATTTTCTGAAAAGTGAATCTAGAAAATTGAAACCAAACAATTGTGAGTTTTTTTTTTTAATATTCTAAAAAAAAAACAATTTAGACAATTGACCTACTTTTCACACTATTTGGGAAACTAACCTGTTTTTTGAAATCGCATTTTGAAAATGCGATTTTGAAATTGAAATTGCATTTTCAACATGCAATTTCACCTTAAAATCTCATGTTGAAAATGTAATTTAAAAAAGTGAAGTCCATGTCATTATAAATTGTATTTTTAACATACGATTTTAAGGTGAAATTGTATGTTGAAAATGTAATTTCAATTTAAAATTGCATTTTCAAAATGCGATTTTAAAAAGCAGGTTAGTTTCCTAAATAATTTGAAAAGTGGGTCAATTTTCTAAATTATTATTATTTTTTTAGAATATTTTTAAAAAAAAAACTCAAACAATTGCAACGTAAAAAAAAATCTCTTCTTTTTGCCAAATAAGTTGAAAAAGTCAAATAGGCTATAACCAAAGACTGCAATGAAACATCATGAGTCAGCATTTTTTAAGCGAATAAGCAAAATAAGTTTACTTACAACTGATAGCTAACGGAGCCTAAGCATTGGTAGTACAATTGATTAATGAATAGTTTTAAATTAGATTCAATAACTCGGTGAGGATTATTTATTGATCTTATCTACACTTTTGGTCAATTCTATTTGCCAGTAATATCATGTCATCTGTTATATTAATAGGTAAATGTTCTTTTTGACTATGGATGAGTTTTTTTCAGTGAACGTGCCACTACTTTTTCTTTTGTAAAGGCGTAGAGAGAAATTCTACTCTTCTATTTACTGTGGTGATGAAAAATTAAATTATCACTATATTTATTTATTTAATCTACTTTTATCAAATGCAGTTGTGGGTTTTTTTCTACCAATTGGGGTAAGGTTCATAATTACTCGTATTACTATGGGACACTAATCTAGCCAACGCTTAGATCCGACCTACCCCCCAAACTTTTTTGATTCACCTGAACATTCTCCACTTGTGTGATTGTTGCTGGACGGTTGGATCGGCAATTTTGAGGGCTCAGTATAAAGAATAATAATTATACAAATTCCAAATATTCTCTCTTTTTGAAATTCTAAAATGTCAATTCACATTATTGGAGGGTGCTTTAATTAATTTTAAACCTTAAGTAAATTTATTAGGGAAGTCCATAAATTTAAAGGCAATTATTATAAATAAACAAAAAGAAAAAAAATAATTCAGGGGTGTCGACCGTGTATATAAGAGGGAGGGGAACCTAATATTTTATTTTACTTTCATTAGTTTCCTTAGGTAGCCGTTTAGTCAGAGGAGAGAGGAAGAGAGTTCTAAGCCGTCGCATCATCTGATTTTTTGAGCGTATTCACTGTCTTCGGTATGCCTTCACTATTTTCCTTCCTTGTTTTCTTTATTTATTACTATTATCTATGCTCATGTTTGTATTGAATTAGGGTTGTCGTGAGTAGTGTTGTTGCATGATGTTTGGTTGGGGTATTATTAACATTTATAGGTGCTTATACAAGTGGTGTTGGTGAAATTGGAGAACTAGCAGCACCTGGGGTGTATTGTTGTTCTCTTTGTGAGTTGTTGTGATGCGTTCTTCATTGTAGGTGGCGGCTGTGCATGAGCAAGTGTTGGGTGTTTGGAGGTTTTAGTGATTCGAGTATTGGAAAATAGGAATTAAATTGGTACATAAAATAAATGGTGCAACTTATATTTCTAAAATCATGCACTAAATAACAAACTTTAAAAATCAAGAAACATATCTAAATGATTGAATAAAATTTTGAAAATTTACAGTAGTTTCATCAAATGTTAAACTTAGTATAATTTTTTTTTCATGATCTCTAGGAATCAAAATTTACATAAAATGAAGAACTAAAAATTTGTTCTGAAAATCTGTGCTGAACTGCCTACTTTAAAAATATGGTTCTCTATAGATATAAATCTAAGCTGTGTCAAATCAGCGCTAGTAGAACTGTTTATGAGTCTAGTTTTCTACATTTTTGGTCTTGCATCGATTGCTTAGGCATATTAAGAGATTCGTCTATTTCTTTAATGCGATGTAGAAAGTGACCTGTTTAGACATAATTAATTGTAAATAATTTATACAATAAGCAAATCCAGTGAAACCCAATTGGGTTTGAAACTTAAGACATAGTAATCTCTGTTATTAGAATCGTATGATTCAGATTTGGTAGATAATCAATACGAACAGGTTATGTAAATCGCAAATAGCTATGAATTGTAGGCGAATCGGTGAACCGAATCGGTGAATCGAGAATCGATGTGATTTGCTAAAATTGATACGATTCGCTAAAATCGATATTTGGCTTTCTTTTTTTGGTTTTTTATTGTTGGAAAAGGGTTCACAAAACTTTTTAAAGGTCTTTTAGGATTACTATATGCCATCTTTTGACTTTCTCCCTCCCTATTTACTCTTAAATGCTCAACCTTAGAGGAAAAAAATGAACTCTCTTTCTACAATATTCTAGGCGTACATATTCAATTTTATCTAAATACTTGCATTTACAAAATGAATTTTTTTAAGGCATCAAAAAAGATTTTTGAAAAAATTTGAAGATTTTGGTATTTTAACTTTGTAAAAAGTTACAAACATTGTTGTTTAGTTATTGTTACTTAGAAATTGAAAATTTGTCTATGTTTGCTTTCGTTATTAAAAATGGTTGATAAGAAATAGTATCTAAAACTGTGTTACCAGAAAAGACTAATACTCTAGCGAATTATGTATTGGTACACACGTTCTAAAGC